AGAAACAGGAGAGTTTTTGAGATTACTTATTGTAGCCCTGTGTACAATAGCAAAGACCTGGAACCAACCCAAATGCCCATCAATGATAGACTGGACAAAGAAAATGTGACACATATACACCATGGAATACTATGCAGCCATAAAAAATGGTGAGTTCGTGTCCTTTGTAGGGACTTGGATGAATCTGGAAACTATCATTCTCAGCAAACTGACACAAGAACAGAAAATCAAACACTGAATGTTCTCACTGATAGGCAGGTGTTGAACAATGAGAACACATGGACACAGGGAGAGAAGCATCATACACTGGGGGCAGTTGGGGGGATGCTAGGGGTGGGACAGCAGGGGGTGGGGAGGTATAACATGGGGAGAAATGCAAGTTATAGTCAAAGGGGGAATACAAGGCAGCAAACCACCTGGTTACGTATGCACCTATGCAACAACCCTGCATAACCTGCACATGTACCCCAGAGCCTAAAGTAAAGTAAAAATAAAAAAAGAAATTCCTTATTGCATGCATATTAGTCACTGAAACTTAAACTCCAATTTTATTTTATTTTAATTTATCTTTTTGAGAGAGTTTCACTCTGATACCCAAGCTGGAGTGCAGTGGCACGATCTTGGCTCATGGCAATGTTCACCTCTTGGGTTCAAGTGATTATCCTGTCTCAGCTTCCCAAACTGCTGGAATTACAGGTGTGAACCGCTATGTCTGGCCATTCCACCCCAATTTTAAAATGCATGACAGTGATTTTGAAACTTTAATTCCTACAGAAAGTACACATAGATATTGTTGAAATGCAGATTCTGATTCATCTGGTGAGGTCTGAGAATCTGCATGTCTAGCAAGCTTCAAAATGCTGCTGCTGGTCCATGTACCACACTTTGGATAGTAAGAGTCTGGGCTGTCTAAGGAAAAATAAGCTGGATTTCTTTAAAGTTGTTGGCATTGGGAGGATAGTTTCAAGTCTGCTTTTCCCTCTAATGAGTACAGGGAGGATAACAGATCTTTCTGAAACTCAAATATTCAACTACTTACGTTTTCTGCCCAGGAGGTTTTAAACAAGCAGGGGCAGAAATGAATGAGAGTATGTATGTGTGCCTGTGTTTGTGTGTGTGTACTTGGGTATACAGTAGTGCCTCCATATTTGCATTAAAGAAAGTGTGTCAGCAACTCTCCTGCAACTATCCTCAATTTAGACTTGCATTCATCTAAGCAAGCAAAGTTCAGAGAACTGTCAGGTTCAAATATACCCTATCTCTGAGGTTAAGCCCCAGCTTATTTCACACATTTCAACATTTTCCATGTGGATGCCATTAAGGGTGCCTGGAATTTGGAGATAAGCCCAGGATTAGTCCTGCTTTAATATCACCATGAAGCCTTGTTATAGGCCCCAAGTTAAGTTGTTAAATGCATTTCTCAGAGCTTACTGGAAAAAAAACATAGCCACATTCACTAACTTTGGTAAGCTTCAGATAGCAAAACACAGTGGTAGTTGTTGAAAACTTACCTGCAGGCCTTTACCTTCATGTTGTTATAGATGGTGGACTTACGTTCTGAGGCTAAAACATTCTGTTACCAAGCTTGCTTTAGGAAAAATATCTAAACTGAGAACTGCGAGATGGAATATTCGCTTTATTTTTTTAAGCATTTTGAGAACTGGGTCAATCTTATTTAAGTAGATTTTTCAAAATCACTTGGTAATAGTTTAGAATTATTCTATAATTATCTAATATTTTAGGATTTTACTGTATTGATATGAAACCCACTATTACTGAATTGGCCAATTACTATATACTTGTATTTGTTGTAAATATGAATCCCAAGTAATGAGCAAGTGACTCATGCTAATGACATACCTGAAATACTAGCTTTCCTATTTTTTTTGGTCATGTATAGCTATTCTATTGACCTGGAGGATGTAAAATATAAGGCAGTGATATTTTATTAAGTCTTGTTAAAATTTAGTGCTTTTGGCCAAAGGATCTTGCAGAATCTCTAAAACAGGTAATAGAGCAAAGATGTTAAGCTGTATACTGGATAGAATTGAAATCGAGATGTATTCCTAAAAATAAATTAAAAATGTAAAACAAAACAAACAAAAAAAAAAACTTCCTAAAGGAAGCCAATATAATTCCTATATCTTTCTCTACTTTAAAATTTATCTAGCATACTTAATCTGATTTTTAAAGAGTTGCTGAAAAGAACTCTATACACTATAGGGTTATAGTTTTGGGGAATTTTCTAAGAAAAGTATAAATTAATTATAGCTTTTAACAGCACAACATCTGTAGATGTATAAGAAGAAGAAGGAATAGAGAAAGAGGCCCTATAAACAACTGATGCCTTGGGGTAGCTTCCTTGTCTTGAAATAGTAAAAACAATCTTGCAAAGGATTCTGCTAAATACTCTTCTAAGGCCATGCACATAATTTTGATAGATAACATAATCTCCTTATTGATTAAATTATCAGATTTTTATTTTACTTCAATGCTTGCAGTAGCTTATTGGCCATATGGGAGATTTTTAAATGTTAAAGCAGTCCTAATTTCTCCAAATGTAAACTGCCATGATTACTCCTTAAGTGGCTACTAAATGAATTCTTCTGTTGATTCTGGAGATAGATAGATAAATAAATAGATAAATGGATAGACAGATAGGTTATTGTGGATTATATTTGATTAAATTAACAGACTCTCTTCTCCAAAAGGTGTAGATTGTTTATACTACAGTAGTAGGAAATATTTGATGAGTAGAAATCAATAGCTGAGAGCAGTCACTTTCCCATGAACACGTAATTCACTCAACCATCCATGACAGCACCCCCATCATAACCTCTCCATGAAGAGTCACTATCATTTTCATTTTGATAAACAGAGACGCTCAGATAAAGTTAATTTACCAAATATCATACAGATAATAGTTGGTGTTGGGATTCTGACTTGTGCTCATTATGTTCATTCTTTATGTTTCTCATAATTCAGAAAGCAGGAGTGATGCTCCTATATCCACTCAGGTGCTAATATACATCAACCAACACTCTCAGATGAGATTTTCATAATCAAAACAAAAATTGAGAAGACGAGTATTTCCCTTTTTATATAATTTAAAAAATGTGATATAAAATATTACAGAAGTATTTTATTAACTATTTCTTTCAGGATTTACTTTTGCATTTGATGACAAAATTAAACTTTCAACTTGACGGCTCATAAGAATAGAATATCTCAATGAAAGTTTCACCTAAGCATTAAATTAACAATTATCCTTAGAAATGTTCATTAAGGAATTCAAAAATCACCATTATTGTTCCTAAATTATCCATTTTCTGTTATCCCCCTTCACTAACACTAATTACATTGATAGTCTTCTTTCTCCCAGCTAACATGACATACAGAAACACAGTCCACCAAAGTTGCCGCTGTACCAAAGGTGACAGTGATTTGGAACTAAGAAAATGTAGGTGCTAGTATTTTCAACCTTTTCAAAGGCTTTCAACTGAAAAATACCTCTGAGAAATATTTAACAAGAGATGTTCAAAAACCATAATTTTCTGATACCAAGTGCTTCTCACTCTATTACCCCCCAGGTCAAAATTCTACTGTAATAAATAGTTTACCAAGATAATCAAAAGTTATACTGCCCTATTTCTCCTAGTACCAGTCAATCACAAAGACTATTCACTTGGCAATCTACAACCTCAGATCTTTATCTCCTTTTTCTCTTTTTGAAATCAACATTTATTAACACATTAATAACCTATTTTTAGGCTGAGGTCATAATGACTGCTTTGAAATAGTCACCTCAATTAGAATAAAAAGAAATGAATATCATATTTAAATTATTTTTTAAATCTCTGAAAGTTTCAGTTTTAGACACTGGCTCTTAATATTTAGTATTAAATGCATGCTACCTAAGCAACATGAGACAAAATCCTCTTTAAAATCAAGCCTAAATGACTACAACTACATATTAATAGTGTAGTGTCAAACAACATCATTTGTCATATAAGTCCCAGTACCTATTGATATTAAGCAACCCCTGAATCAGTATTTAAAAGGAGTACATAAAAGTCTATTTTTAAACACCATCTCTGTCAAACAAATTTCAAAATTAGCACACTTAACAGTTTGTCTTTTGCAGAATTTTTGAATACTATGAAAAAAATGATGTTTTGTGACAAATAAAATTTCCAAAACTTCAAATTAACTTCAATTAAAACTTCCAAATCTTAATTAATCCATGTGATCTCAAGCTGTATTTTCTTTTGAGGCATAAGAATAACATTCGATTCAAATATTTTACTGTCATTGTTTCTAACAGATATACAGTAAAGTGTCGCTCCTTCATGAAATCAAATATAAGGTAAATTATAAAATTTACTTTATACAACTGAAGGTAAATTATAAAATTATAAAAATTTTATGAGGTAAATATAAAATTATAAAAGTGTTAAAACGTATGTTAAATTTTGCAATATGCCATTACATTAGATTGTTTCTGTTGTTGTTCATAGATAAAATACCTAGAATTACCAAGTAAAAATATGTACTTGCGTCTTCTATAATTTCTAATGTTTATGAAATAACACAAGCACAGCTTGGAGTATGTGTCATACTGGTAAATAATAGAGTAGATACTTTTCAGAAATAGAAACAGATTTTGTAGTTCTAACTCAAATATTTCACCATTCATATGTTTTTTTGCAGTGTTTGTCCTGAAACTGAAAGTAGAATTTGAGGCATTTTGCCAACCTCTATCTAATTTGCAACAGAGATTGTAATGCAAATTTCATATAGACTCTCAAATAACACCGATAGCTTCTCATTAAGTTTCTTTTGCATTTGGCAATATTTTACGAAATCACAACATTGATAAAACTTCATAATCGCCTTTCAGATGGAATCAGAAAGAAGTTCATGTTATCTTTTTAAAAAAGTCGTTAATGACTATATGAATGGAAGCAGAATCAGATAAAATGTTATCAACTATATCTTACCTCTCTCACTGAAGTCATCTACTAGAATGATTTCTGCTATCAGACTCTCCGGGGTGCGGTTAATTATACTGTGTATGGTCCTCAGGAGTGAAGTCCAACCTTCATTATGAAATGGGATAATGATGCTGGTGTTTGGCAGCCTTTCCAGATACATCTTGTGCTTACAGCTGGAGATGAAGAGAGAAGAAATGGTGTATTAACTGAAAAACTCTTGTATATCTTATTCTGTTGTTTATTCACTGTATTTTCAGACAATTTGTGGAAACACGATTTGGTCTAAAACTTTCCAATCAGAGTTTGTCCAGCATAATTTTTATCCTGCTCCTTCATAGACTGAATTAATGATCTCTTTTCACACTCACTCTTAATGAAACAACTGTTTTATCCTCTTTGGTATCACGGTTTCAGATATGTCAGTTTGTTGAAATGTTGTGTTCTTGTTGACATACATTTTTCCTATTGTTATATAATAGAAATAAGGATAAATAATATGCATTAAAACTGTTTCCATGGAGCACATAATTAAGGCTTAGATGGATTTCCTGAAGAGAGCTAAAAATTTAACTACTGTATTATTTATGTTTAATTAGGCAGTTTTAGTCATGAAGTGTTTCAATGGCTGGACAATATTTAAAGCCTGAAGGGAAAAACAACCTTAGCCTCTAAACAGAATAAATGAAAATTTAATTTGAAATAACTGTTAACTGAGCACAACTACATAATAAGATTACATTAAGATCCAAATCAAGACATTTTTACACTCCTAATGAAAGCTCTAAAAAGAAATCTTAACTTCTTTTTTTTTATTTTTGGAAGCATCTGAGAACATGAAAAAGAAGCATTTTAAAAATTTTAATCCTTTATTCACTATTTAACCTAATAATTTATTATTTCTAACAATATTTATTAAACAAATAGATTTTGACATTTTCAGACAATGAAAAGTGTTTGAAAACCCATCAAAATTATACCATAATATGGACATAAAAGTGCTATAAAAATATGAAATTCATTTTAGAACAACTTAAATGTCAAAAAATATATATAATATGAAAAAGATCTGTCAGTAATTTCCATGTGTAATCAGACAGATGTTATTGCTTATAATTCACAGATCTAGAAAACAGTGTTAATGAAATTCAGCATACCTGGTCATAATTATACAGAGCCATCAATTCTTCTGAACAAAGCCAATAAACCCAACTAATTGTGCATTGATATGTATCAATATTCAGGTTGCTGCAACTACTTGTGAGAACCATCACACCTCACAATGTTATTAGAATGAAGGTGATATTCCCAATGAAGCAAATGGTTTTTAAACATTAAGACAAGCTATTGCACATATCACTTGCCTATTAATCAAACAGGAATTGCATTCAGAGTCATATCCTATAACCCATCAATAGGTGCTGAGCACACTGGCTCCTGCCTGTAAATCCCAGCACTTTGGGAAACGAGGCGGGAGGATCGCTTGAGTCCAGGAGTTCAAGATCAGCCTAAGCAACATAGCAAAACCCAATTTCTACAAAAAATACAAATATTAGCCAGGTGTAGCGGCATACTGTGTCATCCCAGTTACTCTGGTGGCTGAGGCAAAATAATCTCTTGAACCTGGGAGGCAAAGGCAGTGAGATGAGATTGCACCACTGCACACTTCAGCCTGAGTGACAGAGCAAGACTGTCTCAAAATCAAAACAAAAAATCAATAGTCTCATGACTTCTCAGTCATATACAATCCAATCAGAGGAAGAGTACACACAAAAGAACGCAAGACTAATCACGTATGACAAAGGCTTTCTCTTTAAAAATGTTTTTGATAATTTCTATCTGCCTGAGCTCAAATTACTATCAAATTACTACCACACATGAAATATAAAAGGATCCATTCTACTCATTTATTCATTCATTCATTCATTCATGTCACAATAATTTACTGAAAGTTTGTATAGGCCAGGTTCCAAAGTTGAGATAAAACAATGAACAAAATCTAGGTCTTAACTTCAAGTTATTTATAATATAATCAGAGATACAGAATGACAAATAGTTACAATTTTAAAATGAAATGGATAGTGTAGTAGTTTAACAGAGTGCTATACAATTATTTGAGAGAGGCCCATAAGACACTTTGGAAAATGTTATAGAAATTCAAGTAAGAATTGAAGGTGGCCTGCAGAGGACAGGTTCAAGCTGCATGTAGGAAGAGAACTGACATGACTTGGTACCTAGGAGAAGTGATTAAAGAGGACTCATGTTTTGGACACGGGCAACTGATCCGATGAAACACAGAATGACAGGAGCCTGTGTGAGGGACACACTGAGGGTTTCAAGGATTGAGAACAATGATAATGAATTCAAGTTTGAACATGTACTGTTGAGATGTCAAAATGACATCCAGTTGGAGCATAGCTTTCATATATAATATACACACCTATCAATTTATATGTCTGTCTATCTATATGTGTGTGTGCGTGTGTGTGTGCGTGTGTGTGTAGCTCAAGGTAAAAATCTGTTTTGCTGGAAGAAGAGGTTCATTAAGATAGGCTCTAGCAGATGATGCTGGTGTATCAATGTCTCCTTAGCACTCACTATTCCAGTATAAGCACAGAGGGTCATATTATGTATCCCTGCAGACAGCAACATTAGTACCTCTCTCATCTCTGCACAAGGGGCAGATCAGAAGTTCTGGGAGAAATTAATGCCCCCTAGCCCAAGTATCAACCAATGAATAATGGAAGTTAGAGAAGAAATGGTCACATAGTGGGATAACCCTAGGGGTGGTCTACATTGTCTCCCATAGTTTCCTAGCAGGATTACCCCTCAGTTGCCCACAGAGATCAGCAGTTTGACTTTTATTGGCCACTTTCCCTTTTCTGTGGAACTGTTTCCCATTCCTCCCACTGCACCACTACATTCTGTGATTACCTCTTAAACACTTAAAGTCAAATTTTTGTTTCACGGTCTGCTTCTAGAGGAACCCAAACTGAGACACAGGCAAATAAGTTATAACTCGTTTGGTGGGAACAGTCTCTTGAATCAATGTGCTATCAAGATTCACATTGATCAGTGTGCTAGTCAAATAGGCAACACTCTTATTTTTGTGGAGTTAGAAAGCTTGCAGTTTGTTATACCTGGAGATACTTTTAAATAAGTTTTTAAAAAACAATTGTTACACATGCATTTGATTACTTCTTTCAGCTTTTGAATTATTATTGGCATTCAGACTCATTTCTAGGCCTATGAAATACAACTATCAGGGTTTTGCAATGAATATATAAAAATGGCCTCATCCTAATTAGTCGACTATTAGTAGTAACATTACCTTTTTACGTTGATATCTGTAACTTATTTTTCAATTAGACTACATTATAAACTCCTTACTACTTCATGCCTGATGATTACATATCAAATATTGAAAAGTCACATCACACTTTATATATCAGACTATCTAGATTCAAATGATAGCTTTGCCACTTACTGCCTGTGTGACAATGGGCAAGTTATTTACCATAAATAAGATTAATTTTCTCACCCAGGATAATGGGGGAGCAAAAAAAAATACCTCTTCATAATGTGCTAAGGAGAATTCAATTGGGTCATCTATGTAAAAAGTACTTCATACAGCATCATATCGAATAATAGCAAGGGTTTTATAAATACTGTCATCATTACGGCCATTGTTGTTTAAACTCTATTATTTCAGTTGTAAAATTCCTGTGGAAGAAGATATGGAACTATGAAAGACAGGAACTGCATGAGGGGGACAGTGAGAAACATTTAGGATACAAAGATGAATGGATTTCAGTTTCTTCCCTTAAGGGTTCACAGACCAGTGAGCAGATACATAAAATGATTAGGCTCAAATGAGACAAGTGGTATAATAGATGACACGCAGACATTGAGAGCCTGAAGGAAGTGTGACTAACTTTGTCTGATAGAATTAAGGAAGTCTTTATCAATGAGTCTGCATGTTGAGAACAGATCATGAAGAATCTTGAAAATGATTCTAAGGAATTTGGACGTTAGCCTGCAGTCAACATGAAGTACTTCAAATATTGTTAATCACAAGGAAGACCGGATTGTGTTTACATATTCCTCTGGCAGCAGGGCACACAATGCGCTGCAGATGGCAAAGACTAGAAGCAGAAAAATTAGCCCTTGTAATAATTGCAGTAAAAAATAATAAGGGTGCAGATCTGATTTTCATTCTAAGGAAAGTCAACTCCTTTGTAACAACATTTAATCTGATTGAATTATATTCAGTCATTCTAGCACCTAAGCTGCTCCAAAGAAAAACTGAATCACTGCCAAGCTCAGGCATTGGATTCAAGAAGTTGTGATCCAGATGGCTGCCTTGTAGTATTACTGGAAATAGTGAAGCACATCGTGGCCTTTATTAAGGCCCTGAGCCTGCATATTTTAGATTTGATGTCAAGACAGGTTGAAAATAAAGGTGTACAAGCATGAAAATTATGTAGCAATATGGAACTGAGTTTAATAAATAAGCAAAATAAAGAATTTATATGCTTACTATAGTTACAAATGCATAGAAAATTCACAAATAGGAGACGAAAATGGGGACAAACTAAAACATGTATTGAACTAGTTTTCTAGGAAGATGGGTGTAATTATTGCATTTCATATTGCTATATTATTTTCAGATAAGCATTTGCATTAAATTACCTTACAGTTTAGGAATGGCTCAGAGGTGAGGACATCTCTTTGTTGAGTTACATTTTATATAAATGGATAAAAAGTCATTCTTCAAATTTTAAAAGCACCAGGAAGACAAAAGAAATAGTTCAAATTATTTAAAATTTATTATTTAAAAATTCACTTGGGAGAAATGAAAAATTGTGAAGGCATTTAAAAATCTGAAAACAAAAACTAAATTATTCTGTAAACATTCTGCTAAACCTTCCACAGTAATGAAATTTCAATGGCAAATTTTCTCATATTCTTCTGTTTTTTTGTAAGCAATACATAAACTTTTTCTGATTTTTTTTATTGGCATTTACTAAACTGAGAGATTTTAAAAATACAGTTAAATAGTATTGTTTAACACATACTTAACATTTATTCCTTTCATGGTTACATTAATTTATCTTTATTATTTCATTGATTTTACTAAAATAAGTGATTCTTTCAAGAATAAATGCCAAAAAAT